GGGGGAGGGGGTGGTCCGGCGAGTCCAGCACACAACCATACCACCGCAAACGCCGAGCTTCTCTCTTTGAAAATTATTTTCAACCACAGAATTAAATTTTTGACGCACCGCGACCTCGGCGTGCGCGCGTTGCTAGCGGGACGGGGGGCGGGCTTTACATGATGGAAGGTGTATGATGTGGACCACGACGGGCCACTCTGGCCCACCCCAGCGGACTGGACTGACCCGTCTCCCCGGGGTCCCACCTCAACCACCACCACCACCACCGCGATGCTGCTGTTGGGTAGATAAGGAGACCCCCCTGCTTGCAAGCAAACCCCTCCTCTCCAAGGCGCGACTGAGCTGCTGGGCGGGCCCGGGCCGAGGGGCCGACGGGCGGGGCATTTAGGAGGACCCCGACGCTATCGGAGATGGGGCGGGCGGACCACGGGGCCTAAACAGGACCGCACCCAGTGACCCGCAGCCCCTGGGCCTGCACCTAGGAGAGGTGGTGTGCTCCGCTAGTGCTGTGCCAGAAAAGTTATCGGCCAGTCCACGACCTGATACCCCGATACAACAGCCCTCCCAGTGTGTGCAGCCTGCCTACTAGGCTGCCCGCCTGTGCGCGTGAACTGACGTTGCCTATCGCGCAGGCGGAGGCGGAGATACGCGTTTTTGTCAAAGGTTACAATTTTCCTGTTTTTTCACGAGTTTTTTCATTTTTTCTGATTTTTTCCTAATTTTCTGTTTAATTTTCCTTGATTTTTTCATGATTTTTCTCAATTTTTCTGCGAATTTTCCGATTTTTCCTGTGAGTTTCCTTGATTTTTCCCGATTTTTCCTCAATTTTTCTGTGAACTTTTCGATTTTTTCTTCCAGTTTCCTTGATTTTTTTCTGTTTTCTGTTCTTCTTTTTTGCGGAGTACTCGTCGGTTTCTGCCCAATAACTTTGCGGCACTGCCCAGTCAGTGTGCCCCGCCGCCCTGCAGCCTGCCTGCAGCCTGCCTGCAGCCCCTCCTGGACCTGCTCCTGCCGCTGCAGGGAAGGCCAGCGCTGGCGCGGTACTCCTCACCTCCCGCCCCCGCTCGCTGAGGTGGTGGGGGTGCGCTCCACCCGCCCGCCGCGCCGCTGCTCCGCTCCGCCGCCGCACCGGCCCGGCAAGTCCAGCCCAGTCCAGTCAGTCTGTGCGTGGCTGGGCGAGTAGTCGTTGCTCCTCCGGGTCGGCAAGCGCGTCGTGCTTCGCCCTCTCTCCGTGCCGCGCCTTCCGTGTCGTACTACATCCGACCCCGCAGAGAGCCGACCCACCCCCGCGACGACAGTCAGGCCCGCCGCAGCCGGCGCGAGTCGTGCGTTGGACCGAGAGAAGGATTCGCGAGAGGCGCGCCAGGACTATCGCGAGTGATTTGTTGTTGTGGTGTTCCGTTTGTGGAGGATTTGACGACAGTGATCTGAAAAAAAGGAATTCCAGATTCTGGAGAGGTGCGCCGTGGGTCATCTTTAAGGATTCAGAAGTCGCTGTAAACAACCTACGGTACGTAAAACAACAATGTACGCATTGCAGTGTCTTGATTGTTTATAAAATTACACCGCTGCTCTTTGCGGTTAGGTTACAAGTTACTCTCCACGGTGTTTTATTTTTAAAATCCCAATGCTGTTCTTTGCGTAACTTGTAGTATGCTTGTGCGGTTAGGTTATAAGTTATAAGTTATAGGTTATAAGTCCTCACCAGGGCGTTTTCATTGTCAATCCCACCGCTGTTCTTTCCGTAACTTGTAAGCTACGGTTAGGTTATGCGCCTCTGAAAATCCAAAAGAAACTCCCTCTACAAGGGAAAGGAGAGGGGGGCGGGGCTTAGCGCGTTGAGAGAGAGAGGGTTGGGGTTGGGAATGGCAGCGATTCCGATACGAAAAGCGACTGTTGCGATCTGGGCGGTGCGGCAGTGGGGCCTGTGTCGGCCCGGACACCAGAATGCGCTTTGGCTGGCCGCGGTTTGGCCGGGGCCGTGGTCGGCTGGGTTGGGGCCTGTGCTGAGGGGGCCCGGGCACCGACCCTGCCGGCCGGGTGACGCAGTTTGGGATCTCGGACTGAAACCTTTGGCCCGCCGACCGCAGGCTCCGCAGCCCGTCCGTCCGTCCCTCGTCGCCCTTGGTCCTGCTTCGACCCCACCGCCCGCCCGGGCAATGAATGATCTGGGGAGATCTCGGCCCCTGTGATGCGGTTTCGTTTGACCTCGGAAGGCTGTTGTGCCCACAAGCATCCTGTAGTGCGACATTCTTCCGCCTCTGGCGTTGGAGCCGGCCTTGTGCTTGGTCCCGGGGAGGGCGGCGCGGGGGAGGTGGCCGCCGTGGAGGGCAGTGCGGGTGGAGGTGGCCGTCGTGGAGAGCGGTGCAGCAGGCGGAGGTGGCCGTTGTAGAGGGCGGTGCGGATGGAGTTGGCCGTCGTAGCAGGGGGCCTCTCAGGGAAGGTGCCTGTCGTGGATGGAAGCGCGGGCGAGGTGTCCGTCGGCCTGGCCGAGGGCCACTCCAAGGGGGCGGAGCAGGGCGCCAGGGAGGCGGGGCAGGTGTCATGATGCGGGGTGACACCGGCGGCTACCCGGGGTAGGGGAGGCGATGGTACGCAGGTTGCAGGTGGCGGCGAGATCTCAGCCCCCGCGCCCGGCCCGGCGGGCTCAGGCGCTGTTTGCACAAGGCTTTGTCCCGGGGGTCCGCGCCGCCCCCCCCTGCCGCCTCCGCCGCCCCCCGCCGCGCTGTCCGAGCACACGTATACGTACCTGGGGCAGGGCCCGGGCGCGGCGCCGGGGTTTGGCCCGTGGGCGGACGGGTGTGTTTTAAGTGGAGGGCAAACTACTTGTAGTGCCGGTGGAACCAGGAGTGGGCACCACACGGTGTAAACCACACGGTGTAAACCATGCGGTGTAAACCATGCGGTGTAAACCATGCGGTGTAAACCAGTGGGCTCGGCGTTTACTGCGCGGAGCCTTACACCGACGAGGCGACCCGCGCGCACCTACCTCGACAGTTATTGGCGCTCCTCTGGCTGTATCGGTGCCCCGCCACGCCCTCCGAGAGAGAGAGAGAGAGAGAGAGAGAGAGAGAGAGAGAGAGAGAGAGAGAGAGA